GCAAAGCCCCAGATTTAGGGAACCCACCTCTTCAATGGGCATCCTCTGTGCACAGGCACCTGGACACCATGGGAAGAAGCAGACACAGTGACCGGGCTCCTGGCCGAGGACCTCAGGTCTCCTGGGCCCTCCCTGCCCCAGCACTGCTCTGCCTGCGTCTCCACACCAGGTCCTCCGTCCTGGTTCTCAGCGCGTGACCTCACTTATTTTTCCACTTAGGAGGGGGGGTCGTTCAGGAGAGAACTACCTCATAGTCCCTGAAGCGAGTCTTTCAGCCTGTGCCCCGTGCATCATACTTTCCCTTCTCTCCGGCAGCTTTGAAGGCGGGTGAGGGAAAGGCTCACACTCCGGCGGGACAGCAGACGTCAGGCCCACAGACGCACACGCACCTCCCGCCCAGGACGGACACCGGCGCGGGGTCTCTAACAGATCGTGTGGGTCCCACAGACACACACACGGAGACAATCATCTCGAACTCCGGCTCACACCACGCTGGAGATCAGTTCCGATGATCGCAGCTCTGATGCAAACAGGAACGGTGCCCCTCCCAGAAAAGGGGCCACTGGTGGTCGTGACTTACTGAGTCATCTTCAACAGGACATAAAGGGGAAAGTTCATAGTCGGACTACGAGACAATGAAAACCTCCCGGCCCTCAGGAAACACTGAGTGTGAAGACGCTGCCTACATGGAGACACATTGCAATGCCCGCACCCGGCCCAGGAGCAGACAGGTCCAGAGATGGTCCCCCAAGTCCCCGATGCCTTCTCCGCCTCGGGGCACATAAACCGGTCACTGAAATCCTGTGGCACACCAGAAATGTCTTTTTTGCTGATCTGACCAAAAAATGGGCATTATTTTGATTCATTCACACTGGACGGTTGTGTTGTATTGGCTTTGTTATTTAAAAATTTTTTTTTTTCCTTTTGATTTTAGAGAGTAAGGGAGAGGGAGAGAGATAGAAACACCTAGGAGAGAGAACATCGATGGCCGCCTCCTGCAGGCCCCGCACTGGGGATCGGGCCCACAACTTGGGCATGTGCCCTGACCAGGAATCGAACCCGCGACCTCTTGGTGCAGGGTCGACGGTCAACCACTGAGCCACACCGGCAGGACGGCTTTGTCCTTTTTTTATCTGACGCTCCAAGGGACACGAGGTCAGGGCCCCTGACTAAGCAGCCAGACATGTTCAAACATTCTTGCAGCGCACGGCTGAACCGCGGGCCTGTCGGGGGAGCAGGTTCCTCTTACAGGGTGTCCGCATAGTCCCTACGAGTAGGGGAGACGCCGAACCCGGAGTCGCCAGGGCGGTGCACATTTAACCGCAGGGCACGCACATCGGATGGTGCGAGCACGGGGAGGGGGTGGGGCGCCCTGGATGACGCACGGCCGGGGCCCCTCCGTGGCTGGGGGCAGTGTCTGCGAGAAGCACAATGCACCCTGCTACCCAGCACCCATGTCCCGACAGGCCGTCAAGGAGATGCACACGTGTTTACCACGCCCGCGCACGAGCACGTTGTTTACCGCACGAGCACGTTGTTTACCGCGCCTGCGCACGAGCACCTGTTTACTGCATCCGCGCACGAGCACCTGTTAACTGCACCTGCGCACGAGCATCTGTTTACCGCACCTGCGCACGAGCATCTGTTTACCGCGCCTGCGCACGAGCATCTGTTTACCGCGCCTGCGCACGAGCACGTTGTTTACCGCACCTGCGCACAAGCACCTTGATGGCGGCCTTTGTGCGTCCCACCCAGGACACAGCCCGCAGGCCGGCAGCAGGAGGCGGCGGGTCAGCCCTCAGGCAGCAGCAGGGACCCCTTCGGGCCGGCCGAGGCCGAAGCGGCGCGGAGAGCGCCCTCCCCACCCCGCGGTCAGCCCCAGCGCCGGCAAAGCTAAGCGAGGTGCTGGACGCCGGGCTGTTCTGGGACGAAGGGGATGTTTCCCAGGCCCTGCTCCAAACACGCGGGGTCAAAGCGGTCATCGCGGTGGCAGGTGGACATGGCGGTGCCGGTGGACAAGCCGGTGCCGGCGCGCTGGGAACACGCGAGCCTGGCCCAGGACCCGGGTCAGCCCAGGCGCCCACCGTTTCCAACGTCTGCCCAGAACGGCGTCTACGTTTTGCAAAGCTTTCAATTCTCCTTCCGAAGCCCTCGCCGTTTCCCAGTTTTTCGAATGAAGACATCCACGTCTTCGTTTGACAAATGGGGGAAAAGTGAGGAAATGACTTTAAATAAATCCAATGGAGGCGGCTGCTTTCTCAACCAACCTTCAAGTCAGGGGCCGACTGGTCACCTGCACTGCTGTTTCTCAAAGTCCCCTGTGTGGAACCCCCGCATCGCACCCTCTCTCGGAACCTGTTGCCACATCCGTACCACGTGGGGGGGACAGCGGGGTGACGGGGGCAGCGGGGGGGGGCAGTGGGGGGACCCCGCAGGCCCTCAGAGAGTGGTTGTGAAGGTTAGATGGGGCTCAGTCCCCCGCCGCTGAGGCGCATCGCAGGCTGGGCCTGGAGGTCCGCACTGGACTAGCGTTTTGGCTGATGCCTTTCGAACGTGCCCATTTGAGAGGCGCTGTCCAGAGATTAGGGCCCACTGGTGTGTCCTCAAAGCTGCACGCAGGGTCCTGCTGAGGGCGTGTCCGGGTGGCCAGGCAGCGAGCGCCTGTGTTGCCGGTGGAGGGATCAAAACCCTCAGTCTGGTGCTCCCCAGAGCTGTGCGGGGGAAGGGGAGGCGGGGGGCGGGGAGGCGGGGCGGGGCAGCCACTGTTCACATTTTACTCCAGTAAAGTCTAAAGGGAGGGTTGTTTTGTTAATAGTATCAAAAATAGCTTCAGCTTCAACATTTAAATTCTTTCTTTATACATTTTTTTTTTTTTCACCCGAGGACATTTTTGTATTTATCTTCAGATAGAGCTGGAGGGAGAGAGGGAGGAAGAGAGAGAGAAACATCGATGTGAAAGGGACACATTGAGTACCTGCCACCCACAGAACCCCAGCCAGGGCCAGGGACAAAGTACAACCAAGGTACGTGCCCTTAGCGGGAACCGAAGCCAGGTCTCTCTGGTCCGCAGGCCGACGCTCTAACCACTAGGCAACCGGCCAGGGCTATAAATTTTTTATAAATGTGAAGATATTTGAATGCTCTGGCATTTCATATAACGTACTTTTCCTTTTAAAATAATTTGCCCCATTTAGGTTTTCATTGCCTCTTTTTATTTACATTAGAGGGCCTAGATACATGGACACATTCTCATGGAGAGGATGGGAGGCCAGGTTCTCTGGGGTCCACACCGTGAATGCCGGGCTCGGCCCAGAACCGGCTCCAGGGCGCTTTCTTTCCGACGCCTGTGCTGTGTCCTCTACGAGGGACGCCGCAGCGGTTTGCAGAGGGGACTGTGAATGCTGGCGCCCTCGCTGTCCATCCAGGCCGCTCCCGTCACTTCATGGCGGCGCCACTTGCTGACTGAATGGAGACGTCCGTGGAATAAGTGTCCTCTGAGGTGCTCAGCTGCGTGGAGAGAACAGAAGAGCCACCGCTGACATCAGAGAAACGGGCTCACTTCCAGCTTCATTTCTCTTTCATGCCGTTAAGTCAACCTGAACGTTGAAAGAAAAACCTAGATGCTTAGTGGGAGCCAGATGGCAGGGTGGAGCTGCATGTCGTCCGGTGGCCGTGTGCTCGCGGGAAGACGGGCTCACGTCGCCCAGTCGCAGCTGTTCAGGCTCGGAGGCTTCGGAGCAGATGTACGTTCCGGGTGAGCTGAGGAGGTTCAGTGCGTCCTCACGAGTGGCTGGGGTTCGACATGAGAACTTGACCTCCCGGCCACCACAGGGACTTCCCGTTTGCAGCCAACCATCTGCTCCCAGATAAACAGCGGACGCCCTTGACTCTCGGCCCCAGTTAACCTTGAAAATGACTCTGCAGCACAGCGAGACTTTCTCTTTCTCGAGAGGAAGGGATTTGTTTTCTTTTTGCTTTTCTGGCAGCGGTGCTGGATTCTGACCGTCCGCTGAGCAGTGGAAATCATGCTGTAAGCAGAAGCGTCTGCGAGACGGAGATTCCCACAGAATCGTCTGTGTTTCCAGCGGAGGCTGGCTGCTGTCGTCGGACCCGAGCCCAGCGGCCGTGCAGCGGGGTTCTCCACGCAGCCCCCTCCACTGGGTCCGGTGCAGCCTGACCCGGATCCCAGCTTGTCCCCGTCCCGTGGCTGACCTGGGACTCCCACATTAGTTACGGCCACATTAAAAAACTTTACTTAAGCATCCTAATAATCCAATTTTTCTCAGTGTTAATCAGAAAATCCCCAGGCACCCAAGGGGCAGCCAGGAATGTCAGGGGAAGTTTGACTGGCGCTGAGTATTCACAGTGAATTTTCTTGCATCTTGAGAGCTGCCTTGGTAATTAGGCAGGGCCTTCGTTAGGTCTGGGCATGACGATGTCCCAGCAGAGGCCCAAACAGAGCCACCTGGACACTGCCCGAGTTACACCGCCCCCCATTCCTGGCCCCTTCCCTCTGGGGTGGCCCGTGGCTCTGAACAATCCGAGCTAAAAACAAACCGAGAGTAGCAGGAAAGTGTCAGTCTGTTGTCTTGTGGTGATGGTGATGTGAATTCCACTGTGCCCAAAGCCAAACTAGATTTGGGGAAGGCCACTCCTGGGGCTGCCTGGTGGGGGGAGACTTTGCAAGTCCCACAGGAGGCTGCAAATGTGCGGCCAGGACCGGACCGTGCCTGGGTGCAGGGCGTTGGCACTGTGACTCAGCACCACGTTAATTCCTTCTTCCATTCGTCCATTCATTCATTCATCCGTTCATCCGTCCATCCACCCATCCACCCATCACTTCTCCATTCTTCTGTTCGTTCATCCATCCATCCAGTCACCCATTCATTCAGTCATTCAGTTGATCCCCACACCTTCTGTAACTCCCCTAACTCAGGAGCTGGATCAGAGTTAAATGCTTAAGGTTCCCCAAGGAATAAAAGCACGAGGGTACCACTTACTTCCCAGTGATGAATTGACTCCTGGACGGGGTGCAGATGGGCTGGACATAGTAGTTCTCCAGCTTGACCCCTTCAGCAGCGAGCCTGTCCAGCGTGGGGGTCCGAATCTCTGAGCCGTGGTAGCCCACGTCCCTGAACCCCTGGTCGTCCGCCAGGATGAAGATGAGGTGGGGCTGGGAGCTGGCGGGGCTGCCCAGCTCTGGCCCGTGTCCAGCTTCCTGGTCCTGCTGGCGGCCACGGGACCAGGACAGATAGCCGCAGGTGAGGAGGCTCAGGACCCAGAGGCCTGCCAGGGTGCGCATGGCCGGTGCCCTTGCTGGCCGGACCCCTGGCCACACACAGCCCCCGGAGGCCATGCGCTCTGGTCCCTGCCGGGTTCCCACACCTCCAGGCACACATGCGTGCGGGAGGGGGAGGCCCACCCTGCTCACTGTGTCCACCTCCGGGACCTTGATCTACAAGGGGTGGCTGGGCTGGAAGGGGAGAGGGGGAGGCGCCTTCTCCATCATCACTCGGTCTGTCCGTCCCCCTCAGTGGGTGGCATCCACAAAGTAACGCTGCCACCTAGAAGTTCCGGGAAAACACCCAGGCAGGATGGAGCGTCACCCTGGGCCTCTGTGTGGTTGAGCCCAGGACTTGGGGGCCAGGCTCTGGGGCTCGGGGATGCCTGGGTCCCACCACCTGCAGAGCAGGCACCTGGCTCACCCTGGGCAGGTGAGGGGCATCAGGGTGGCGGGCGGACTGGCCTGTCACTTCAGGGTCTGCTCCTGCTCAGGGTCCTCCCAGGCGCCCGTCCCTGGCCTCCCCTGGCGGTGGCGCAGCGAGAAGCCGGTTTCCTGGGGTCCTGTCCTGGGAGGAGGGAAGGTGCCGCGTCCACGGCCCGGTTCCTGGTGGGAGGGCTCTGTGCGCGCAGCCTGCTCCGGGCTGGGCCCCACCCCCACTCAGCCAATGAATCACAGCAGAGCGGCTGCTCCAGCGGGTGGGGGTGGCCCCCCGGCGCTCCTGCCACTTCCTGCGGGGCTGGGGGAGCAGCGAGTGGGGGTGGACGGCCTGCTCGGCTCCGCAGGGGTCTGTGAGCGGGACGCGCCCGGAGAACTTCCAGCTGCTGCGGGACCAGAGGAAGAGCCCAGAACAACTCCTCCTTCCTCTCGGGTTTCCTCCCCTCCTCCCCCACTGGGTAGCAGCTTCGGGCTGGATCCCGTCCTGGGCAGCGGGCATACTTCCTGGTGGGGGCTCCCCACCTGCTGAGCCAAGGGCTGGCCCCACACTCAGCACCCCTGCATCACAGCCCTGCCTGGCCCGCTGGGGGCACCTCCGCGGGCAGGGGTCCGGCTCTGATGCCACCTGGTGCCTGGAACCATCCCTGGGAGCCTCCTGCTCCTGGGAAGGGCTGTGGCCTCCGCAGGCCAAGGCCATGGAGACCTGCTTTCTCTCCACAGCCGTCTGCCCGGGGCTGACACCCAGGTGGGCCAGCAGCGGGAACTGCGATGCCCCAGCCGCCCAGCATGGCTCGGATCCGGGTCTCGCTGCGCCCTCGAGTCTTAATGCCTTCTTGTTGCTGGTTCCTCTGGGTTCCCAGACCCAAGGTCTGTGCCTGGAAACACCCCTCTGGTACTGGAGTGGCCAGGGCCCACCTGGTGTGGCTGCCGCGGAGGGTCTGGGAGGGAGGCAGCTCTGAGGGACCTGCAGGGAGCCGGGACCTGGCAGCTCAAGTCAGCAGACAGTGTTGGGAGGGAAGCCCAGGGCCCTGCTCCTGCTTCTGGGCCCAGCGAGGCCTTTGGGGGGAAGAGACCGAAGGTTCAGTGGGTCCAGCCGCTCCTGGTGGGGGCGGCTGCTCAGTCAGGTGTCAAGGAGAGCGAAGTAGGGGTGTCAGCCTCGCGGAGGACTTCCCTGCGCCCGCTGTGTCCGCCCCCCGGGGCTGCGCAGGTGGAGTCGCTGCTCCCCAGCAGCTGGCGCGTCCTGCCCCCTCCTCCTCCCTCCTGCGGCTCCGCTGAGGGACCAGCTGCTCAACGGCTGGGGGCTCGGACTCCCTGCTGGCACTGCCCTGTGCCGGGCATCAGACGGATCGGCCCATCACCCCAACGCCCGCGTCCCTGACTGTTCCGTGGGACTCTCAGCTGTCCCAACAAGGCTTCTGAAGACAAGGAAGAGAATTCAGAGACATTTTACAACAGAGAAACTGCCTTGGAAGGGGCATGGCTATGGGTGGGGGGTGCAGGTGCAGGGGCGTGACCTTTACACTGCGGGAAGGTGTTATTTTGTGTGTTGCCCCCTCTTTTTAGACATAGAAATTTAGAAAATTTAGACTTAGACATGTGTTTGACCTCAAAATCCATGTTTTTTCCCTCAAAGCTATTTTCCCACGAGTGGGCCCTCGGTGCCCTCCAGCATGCGGCAGAGAGCAGTCCTGGCCCTCACGGGGCGCACACGGGCACTGGGGACGGACAGGGTGCGCATGCCGGTACTCGGGATGGACAGGGCGCACGTGGGCACTCAGGACGGACGGGGTGCACACGGGCACTGGGGACGGACAGGGTGCACACGGGCACTGGGGACGGACAGGGTGCGCATGCTGGTACTCGGGATGGACAGGGCGCACTCTGGTACTTGGGACGGACGGGGCACACGCGGGCACTTGGGATGGATGGGGCACACACTGGCACTCGGAACGGACGGGGCACACGTGGGAACTCAGGACAGGACGGACGGGGTGCACACGGGCACTCGGGACGGACGGGGCACACACAGGCACTCGAGATGGACGGGGCACACGTGGGCACTGGGGACGGACGGGGTGCACACGGGCACTCGGGACGGACGGGGTGCGATGGCTCGAAAAGGCGGTTCTGCAGGAAGCAGGGCTCGCGCTGCGGAAGCCAGGCGCTGGTCGCCACAGCGAGACGGGACAGTGGTGCGGACCTTCCTCAGAAGGCCGGAGGTCAGGTGCCACCGCGGGAAAGGGCAGGGTCAGCCCCACCTCCAAATGGAGGCCGGGGCACAACATCCGGCCGCCAGTGCCCAGGGCCACGCTTCATCGGACCTGCTCCAGTATAAACAGCACCAGTATAAACTTCGATCCTTGCAGGGTTGGGTCACCCGCCCGGAGAGGCTGGGCGGGGTGCGGGCACCCTCCTGACCAGAGCCAGCAGGGGGTGTTCAGGCATCAGCCCCCCCATCACATCTGTGGTGTACGATGGTGTCAAATGACAAGCGCACAGTGATGGCAGAATTGTATGGAAACTAAAGGTGACATTTGAGTCCACTGAAAGAGAAAGACAATTGCTTGGAGGGGAAATGAGCCTGGACTGACTGCAGGCTTGGTCAGGAGGCGGATGACGGACACCTGGGGAGGAGGGGCTCGGACAGGGGAGAGCCCAGGTAAAGGACCAGATGCCCAGGGGCCCTGAGAAGGCTCGACAGCTGCCCTGATCTGGGACCTCAGGAGTGAGGAGGCCGCTGAGCAGGTGATTCGACGTCAGTGAATCTTACCCGGGTTCCTTGGGGTGATTCACAGGGACAGGCTGCAGGTGAGCGCTTCTGTCCCCCACACTTTGAAGAGCTGTAATGTTGCCAAGAATACGGAGTCTCCTGAAGGCTTTTGGTTAGAGCAGGACCATGGAAAACGAGGAAAAGACATTGCTGGTTGTTTTCGGGGACAGACTGTAGGGAGTGGGGACGAGCCAGGCGCAGCCACCGCGGGCGAGACTGTGGAGCCGGCTGCGGCGGTGTCCCCGGTGGGAGGGCATGTGGATGACCACAGAGGAGCAACTGGCCAAGGAGGAGGGCAGCACGGGGCAGAGGGCCTTCTCTGATCAGGTAATGGAGTGAGGCAGAAGGAGCCCGGTGCCCGGGGCGGGCGGCGAGTGACGCCCCGAGGGGGATCCCAGGACGGCGTCTCGGTGTGGCCGGGCTCCTCAGGGGCGGACCCGGGGAGTGGATGCTCGCAGCAGGGTGGAGTTCAGGAGTGGACGTGAGGGGCGTCAGTAAACGAGAGGCCCAGAAAATCACAGGAAAGTGGGTGATTGAGCAATGTTTCTTTGAAATACCCGTGCGAATCTTTGCGGTCCAAGTGGCACTTCCTGCAGCCCAAGCTGCCCGGACAGTCGCCCACCTCGCAGGGTGCGCTCACCTGGACAGGTGTTCTCGCCCCACGACACCTGTGCTCAGAGGCAGGTTCAGAACATTGAGGAAATGGTCAATCCAGGGATTTACGGACCATTAAAAAGATTTAAAACGCAGTTGCTGCTTGTTTCGGTTTACGAGTCCATGAAATACCTAAAAGTGAAGGAATATCGCCAAACTTCACACGCAGACAAAGCAGACGTGTCTGCGTGGAGTCGTCTCGACGTGGATGCCACGTAGCACTCCAACTCGTCACGACGGCTCCGGGAGGCCTGCAGGGCAGGCTGCCGGCCGTCAGGAGGGGGGAGGTCCGACGGGTCCACGGGGCGGCTGCTTCACGGGGCTGGTAACCGTTAGTGAAGCTCACTCCCCTTTCTGGGGCAGTCTCTGTGGACACCAGCTGTAATAATTCCAAAGGACAGGTGAGCTCGGCTGGAGTGGCTCAGCGGACTGTGTCCTCCCAGGGACGGAGAGGTCCCGCTGCCATACGGGGTCAGGGCACAGGCCCGGGCTGCAGGCTCGATCCCCAGTGAGGGGCGTGCAGGAGGCAGCCGATCCATGTTTCTCTCTCATGTCGATGTTTCTATCTCTCCCCTCCTCTCTCTCTAAGAAATCAACAAAAACATAAAAAATAAGAAGGAAAGGGAGTCATGGGACACCCTGAGGTTCCCATCGTATATAAATGTCACTTCCCAAATTCTCTCAGCCAGGGTTTAGACCCTGGACGCTCAGCGGATAAAGCTGTCAAGGAGGAGACCTTTCTTCCTCTCACGCATACACCCCTTTATGTGAAAGAAGATTTATTTTTTGGGGGGCAAGCTCGGTACTTCCTGCGATGTAGACATCTGTCCGCACATCTGTCCGCGTCGGCCCCCACCTCCTGACATCGGAACGGTACAGGGATGAGCCTGGCCCCGCACAAGGATGACACGGACGTGTGAACCGTTTCATACTTACAGAGTAAAATAAAATAAAAGTCTGTCCACACTGCTTACATTGTGACGTTCTATATTATTTGTGCTGCAACATGAACTCCTAAACCCACCTGAGAAGCACAACCCCGTAGGGATTTCTTTGAAAGGCTATTTCCAGCTCCACCCCAGACCTCAGTCAACACACCCGGAGTCTGGGGGGGCATCTGCCTCAAACAAGGTGGTGCTGGTGTGAATTCGGCTTCGCA